GCAAGAAGAAAAATGTGGCTCATTTTGCCCAACCCCGCAGGCAGTCAGACCTTATGGTTGTCTTCCCTCCTTCCAAAAAATCGCTGTTATTCTGTTCTTTTTCAAGGTGCACTGATTTCATATTGTTCAAACACACATGTTTTACAATCAATTTGTACAGTTAACACAATTATCACAGTGGTCCTGAGCTGACATACATCCTCAGCTTATGAAGATGACAGGATTAAGAGATTAAAGTAAAGACAGGCATAAGAAATTATAAAAGTATTATTTGGGAACTGATAAATGTCCGTATTAAAATGAAATCTTCACAATTTATGTTCCTCTGCTGCGGCTCCAGCCAGTCCCTCTGTTCAGGGTCCCTGACTTCCCACAACACTAAATCTATACCTAGACTTACCTGAGAAAAGTCTAAAAGCAACTAGAGAGGAAAGAATATTCCACTGAAAGGAACAATTATGTTAAAGTAGACATCCTAAGGGTAAGGTAGAAGACAATGTAATGTCTTCTTAACTGGCAGACTCTAATTCTATACCCAGATAAACTCTCTCATAGTCAGGTTGTTTCAGGCAAGCAAAGGGTTAGAGAGTTGACCACTAGTAGCACTTGTATAAAACAACTTAAGGCTGATTTCCAGAAATATGTACATCAAGTCTAGGAGGAAGAGCTGAAGTGCAAAAACAGTGATTTTCAAATAAACTAGCAAAAATGTAACACAATAATTAAACATTGATTGTATAAAAAACCTAATGATAATGGCTAATCTGGAGAATATTAGAATAAAACTAAAAATATGACACATCTCAAAAATCTAAATAGCAAGTAGGAGATTGGAGTGAAAGTCCTCTAAGCCATCCTTTTGCTTTGTGGGGAGAGTAGAGATATTGGTTAACTGTCAACTTAGTTGAAAAAATAAGGATGTCAAAATTGTCAGGGTATCTTAGCTCATATTTCTTAAAAGTAGAGTTGGAGATGTAAGTGGTTGATTGGGGAAGTTCTTGAGAGGCTGTCCCCATGGAAAATGTCTGGAGCACAAATTGGGCCACAGAGGTGAACTTGCCTGGATGAAAAGGCATCAGCAATTTGTACTCCCATCAGACATGGGAGTACATGGGGCATGGCTTTGGGGATGTGGAAGCCCCTACTGGCCAAAGGCATGGGTCTGGAGAAGTCAGCAGCTCTGATTCTGAGCACTTAGCAGCAAACACTCCCAGCAGGTGTAGGACGCAGGCACCAGCATGGAGAAAGGTATCTGGTAGGACACCACGGCACCCATTCCAGTCCATCCCCCAGGCCGCTCAGGTGCTCCCTACAGCAATGCAGCCACACCTTCATCAGCATTCCATGGTTTCATATCCTCCTGGAAAAACTTATACGAGGATAGTTAATAAAAACCTCTGACTGTACCCACCTTGTTGCAGTTATCCCTGGGGATGGACCCAGAATTCTTCTCTTTCCTCTGCCACTTACATGAGTGCCCCCGATATGGTTGGGATATTTGTCCCCTCCAAATCTCAGGTTGAAATATGATCTCCGGCATTGGAGGTGGGCCTCGTAGGAGGTGTTTGGGTCTTGGGGCCAGATCCTTCATGAATGGCTTGGTGGCCTCCTACAGTAACAAGTGGGTTCTCGTGCTGGTAGCTCATGGAGGGCTGGTTGTTTAAAAGGGCCTGGCACTTCCCGCCCTTTTGTTTGCTCTCACCACGTGATGCGCCTGCTCCTGCTTTGCCTTCCACCATGAATAAGCACTCCCAGAGGTCTCCCCAGAAGCCTCGATGATGACACACAGGCTCCCATGTTGGCCAGCTGGTCTGCCACTCTGTGAGGCCTCAGTGGTGCTGGCAGAGGCCCTGAGGGTGAGAAAGAAAAACTCATACCTGGACTTTATGTCAATCCCTGACAGGATGAAATGTGTTTTACCTTCTCCCGGTGGAAGAGATCTGATGCCATCAACTTCCATCCAATGGGTGGTTGGTCTTCTCTGTGTTTCCCAGGCTTAGCACTGTGCCAGGGGCTCAGTGTCAGTCCCACAGGCAGGGCAGACAGGCAGCAGAAGGAGCTGGAGCCACTTTGGTGAGAGGGAACCCCTGCTTCTCCCCCGGGCAAAGCCCCCATTTTCTGTCTTGGATATTCTGTTTGCAAGCCCATTGCTCAGGAACTGGAGTGGCCAAGGACAGGCCCCCGTTGGCTGAGCCATCATGTTAACTTGGTAGATTGTACCTCTGTTGGCACACATTGCACCCTCTCCCATAGGTCCATTCTTTTCTCCAGGCTTTCTTTTCCAGATCTTTCAATCCTGCTCTTCCAAACCCTGGCCATGCAGCTAGGCTACTGGCCACACACAGCCTTCCTCAAGAGCCTCAGGGAGTTGCTCTGTGTCTCTCCAGGTGGGACTTGCCTGAGGCTCCTGGTGGCTTCACTGTCTACCGTGAGATCTTCCAGGTCATAGGGCCCAAACTGCAAGGTTACTTTTACTGCAGCCTAGAGCTGCTGCAGACTCCTTTCTAGCACTGGGCCCACTTAAAGCTACTAGCCTCTGGCAGCGTTTGACAAGTAGGTCCTAGAAGCCTGCCCAAGTGTGACCTGTGCTGCCTTCAAAGCCCAAATCGATTCACCAAGCATTGTGTTCCTTTCTCAGGGGAAGGGGAGCAGACAGCACAGTCACGGCATTGGTTACTCCAGAGGGAATATCCCAACAAGCACTGGAGCCCTGGGGTGCAACTGCACTGACGTGGCCACCCCTGGCTCTAGGTGGGGTTTATCTCCTCACCTTCTAGGGGGCCTTTTCCAATGCATCCAGAGTACTTCCTGCTTCTTACTAGCAAGTCTGATGAACACAGAGTTATCAAGATCGTGGGCCAATGTGATACTCTGCAGAACGTGCAAATACTCCACATGTTCTAGACTCCCTCATGACAGAACAGAACCAACTCAGCCTGGGGAAGGCCTGTGTCTGTGCACTGAGATCTGTCCCTTGTGCAGTATGCTGCCTCTGACAACCTTCCCTGATGTTAGAGAAAAGGATGTGTT